CATTAAGGTTTGAGAGAGGTGTGAGAGACAGATGAGTCTGCCATGTTATGAATTTCCTTTTTCCTTTCAAACCATACCGTTGACGTTTTCCAGATTTGTTTGCCCTTTCCATTTTAAAACATATAATTAAGGTTTGAGAGAGGTGTGAGAGACAAATTGTCTACCATGTTCTGAATTTCCTTTACCCTATCAAACCATACCGTTGACGTGTCAACAGATTTGTTTGGCCTTTCCCTTTCAAATCATACTACGAAGGTTTGAGAGAGGTGTGAGGGATAGATTCGTCTGCAATTTCCTTTTCCCTTTCAAATCATACTGTTGAGGTGTTTACAGATTGGTTTGCCAGGATTTCTCTTTCCACTTCAAACAACACTGTTACAATAGCGACGTTATTCTCTTTAAAATGTCGCTTTTAAGAATTCGTTTTAAGAAAATCCCTTTTCTTGGGGGTTCTTTCCAGACCATCTTGAACAGCCCGCACCGATCTGAACTGAAACTTGGATAACTTAAATAGATAAGCGAGAGAACATTCTAAAAAGAAATTGGAATGTCTCGTTAATCAAGTCGGCTGGAAAATTTCAAACCATACCATTGGGGTGGTTAAAGATTTATTGGCCATGTTCCGTTTCCCTTTCAAACCATACCATTGGGGTGGTTAAAGATTTATTGGCCATGTTCCGTTTCCCTTTGAAACCATATCATTGGATATTAGAAAAGTCAGAGAGACAGACCATGTTATCCACTTCAGTTTCCACTTCAAACCATACAGTTAAGGTGTGAGGGACAGTCCGTAATATAAATTTCCATTTCCAGTACAGACAACATTCTTGAGGTTTAGAAAGGTATGAGAGACGTGTTGAGAGGTCATGCTACACGAGCCAGAAATTTTCTAATATTATTAAGAATAGCTTCCAACCGAATTTTAAAATGACTCCCCTTCTAAAAGAAGACACGTCTTCTTCATTTGTGTTTCAGATTTTCTTTAAGACATCGGAATATTTTTGCAGAAATGTGTCAAACCGTTTTATTTACCTAATCCCTTCAGATAACATTTTGGGGAACCTCAGAAACATTTTCCCAGTCGGTGAGACGGCTCAAAAATGAACTTTACGGGCCACAATATAATTTTTCCGGGCTGTTAAAGACTCAGACTCGGTAGAAACATTTACAGAATGGAAAGAGCTTCAGCCAAAGCCAGATCATTTTCTAAGAAAAATATTTTTCAGCATTTTCTTAATACCCTTCTGAAAGAACACATGTCACATGTCTTACCTATTGAACTTGTGTCCATTCGAGGACAAGTTCTTCTCTCCTTCATCCCCAAACATCTCACTCAGATCGTCATGTTTCACTCCATTTCAAACCACATCGATGAGGTTCCAAAAGGTTCGAATGAAACGATTTTCGCGGTGAATGTTAACGGCATTCATAGGAGTAGGATCTGTTTTTAGTTTTGTTTCGCTCATCCATTTAAACAATACCTTGGATGTTTAGAAGGGGACCGATCTAAAAAGGTTTGCCCCATTCCAATAACACAAAATCATCATTCATTCTAATGCCCCAATAGCCATGTCATCCTCTTTCAAATTTCAGGCCAAAGAATTCCTCTTGAGAACATCTATTCTTCATGGGTATGGGATCTATATTGAATAGAGAGAGACGTGTTGCATCTTGAACAACCCGCACTGATCTGAACTGAAACTCGAAATGCCTTTATAGATAAGAGAGGAGTTGAAAGTGAAAGTAAAGGCCAAAACATGTTTACAAACTCTTTAACCCTTTTTGTTTCAATGATGTCAGAGTATGTCAAAACATATTGAGACATCATTCAAACAATAAAGGGTGTACAGTTAATATTAATGATGTCTAAAGACATCATTAATGTTAAATTTTTTTTTTTAAATTCTTAAGCAGAGATTTTCTTTGCGAAAATTTTTCCAGCCGATAAGGCTTGGCTTTCACAATCCACTTAGCATTTCTCTATAAAAGCATTCCCTGTTTCCCTTCACGGATTACATCGCTGCGTGCTCTTCAGCAAGACAGATTCACTACAACATGCTCCTCCAGTCTGGATTCCTCCCAACAGACAAGTGTTTGTGCTATTTATGAACGCTGTTCACATAGAAGTTTTTAGATGTGGAAAAACATTTTGACTAAAACATGGAACATTGTTACGGATATCTTTATAAACTGAATGATTTTCTAGTCTAATGAAACTTACTCGACCCTCAACCAAATACTTTTTACTTTTTTACACGTGTGGTGTTTTTACCCAATGCTATGAGTTGGCTCATGACGAGTCTGAATTCTATTTTCTCTCGAAATCCATAAAGAAAAGCACTTTATTCGACTGTAACGACTAAGAGCGAAAGGTTATTTATAATGACTCCAGATTCCTGCATGGTCTGTGAAATTGCAACCATTTTTTTGCCCAAACTTGTTGGAATACTTTTAAGTACGAAACAGGCATTAAAGAGAGACTAAATAGAAATTTTGTTTCCCGCCTAACTAAAATAGACTTGTGCGACTATTTTGTTTCCTATCCTTCCCAATTAAGCTTAGCTTGAGTGACAATTTTGTTTTCTCTCTTCTCGAACCAAGATGAGTTTGAGCTAGCATTTTTTGTTGTCTCTCATTCCTAACCGAGAACGGTTGGAGCGACCATTTTGTTTTCCACCTCACCAAGATGGACTGAAGCAACCATGTTGTGTTTTCTCTCATCCCTAACCGAGATGGGTTGGAGCTACCATTTTGTTTTCCACTTCACCGAGTTGGACTGCAACAACCATTTTGCTTTCTTTCCTTCCCAACCAAGATTGGCTTGAGCACTCATTTAGTTTTCTCTCCTCTCGAACCAAGATGAGTCTTCTCCACGGCTTTGAGCGACCATTTTTTGTTTTCTCTCTTCTCGAACCAAAATAAGATGGAGCAACTATTTTGTTTTCCACTTCACCAAGATCGACTGGGGAGGCCATTTTGTTTTTTCTCTCTTCTCGAACCGACACGGGTTGGAGGGACCATTTTGTGTTTTCTCTGCTCTAAAACCTAGATAGTTTGAGCAACCATTTTGTTTCCCACCTCACCAAGTTAGGTTAAAGTAATCGTTTTGTGTTTTTCCACACCTAACTCAGATTGAACCGTTTTGTTTGTTTCCAACCTAACCAAGATTGACATGAGCCACCATTTTGTTTCTCACCTGAAAAGTATATTTTCTGAATGGATTTCAGCGTTCGAATACATTTGTGACCGACTGTACATGTGTCGTCTGCAAATTCATCGAATCATTTGCTTAAGAAAACACAGTCTCATCGATTGTGAAGAGTCGATTCTCTAGTCTAGCTGGCATCGGTATTCTGTAAATATGTTTCTCTTAGTATGCGCGACTTAGGTCTTAGGCGGTCCCTGTAAAATGACTTGGTGATCGACGGAATGCCCAACCCTGGTTGTGAGCTTTGATGATAAGATTTCTGCATTTTGAGATTAAATTTCTTGTCGAGCTTGATAAAGCCCGGAGCTTGGTAAAGGTCCTGTCGAGCTTTTTAGTAAAGAGTCGAGCCTTGACTTCTATCTGTATTTCTAAGCTTGCAAGTTTGGAGTCAAATAAACTAGATTCAGGTGTGGCGAGAAACTGATTTTCAAAGTTTTCGCTTATGCTTTGTAGTTCCTAGGCTGATGAAGCAAATTTAGTTTCGTAACAACTTACTTTTTCTCTTGATTCTTCTTTGAGTAAACCTATTTGTTTTTGCGGTCAGACTCCTTACTTATTTCCAATGATGATGATGGTGCTGGATTTGTCGTCCTAATCAGTGTTTATATCATGTGCTTTTGATAGACAATAAATACGATTTGTCATTATTTCACAGAGTTTCCAATCCGCAAGAAGATGAATAAAAAATCAAGAGATTGAGAAGTCGCTAATAAACCCGTATTATGCCGTGTGTGCTTTTGGCGAAACTTTAGCTGGAAATTAATAGTTCCTGTCACTAACACCGACACGATAACTTGGGGAAGAAGGGTATACATTAACTAAAAGTCCTAAAAAATCCACTTTCTTTTCTTTTTGAAGACTCCAATTGTACGACAGCAATAGTAATAGTTCAGATATATCATAAACGAAACACCATTTACAGGGCAAAAATTGTTTTTATTTTACTTTAAATTTCTTGTATTTGTACATGGCCCACTGATGGCTGAGCGGATAAGATATCTGATCATTGATAGTTCAGCCCGGGTTTGAATCCTGGCTGCGTGGATGTTTTAGGTCCCAATCATATTATATTTCGGAAATTTCTCAGAACCCGTACAATTCCAGAAAACACACGTAGCTAGATTACCATTCTCCCTTACTACAAAGACTTGAACGCCAAACAGTAATCGATTGTCGCTCAAATCGGTATCACGTGATCCTTCAGAAGCAGAACTTTCGTCTGATTAGTTGTCTCTACTCGGGACCCGAGACATTTTCAGTGAGGTTTGAAAAAATCCCGCGTAGCCGCAACATTGCTTCCGTAGCTAGAAGGGACTTCGCTTCCGGCGGGGCTCTTTTTTCTAGGAATCCTTCTGTTTACACCAGTACTACAAGAATCTCGTTGCTCAGAAAAGTCCCGTCTAGCAGGAACTGTAGCCATGTGTAATAAACCTCTTTAGTAGTTTTCTCCATATGCTTGAAGCAAGTTTCAACGTATCTTTACTTAGACAGATAGCTCTAATTAGTTTAGCTTTGTGTACTTCTATATATTCTAATAAATAAATTCAGTTTGGTTTTTAAAGGATCTCGATTTCCTGTCAAGATTTTGAGAATTATTTTGTTGCTTGAAGTATCGGCTTATGATGCGGCATCTATCTGGATGCATTATTTTGTGTAAGTTATCTATTAATAAGAAGTTTTATGAATTTAAATAGAAGATGCTCCATTTTTACTGTATCAGTTCGAAAAATTTGGCTAAATCTCGAAAAGATAATAGCCATGGATTTGTTCATCTCTTTGTATTCATCATGATTTGAGATAAGAGAAACACATGCTTTATTTTTAGCTGCTAATTTGGCAACAGTCACTTTACGAAAGTTCTGTAAACACGGGTTGTCAGTAAGCATTCAACTGAAAAGTGAGTTTCTATTTATTATTAAAATAATACGCGTATAATATTTTAGAAGGGACACTTCATCAGCACGTCCATTTCGGATTTAGTTATGTTTGTTATTATTTGTAAAACATATATTCATCAGTACTGAAAGTATCTTTCATTATACTTTATGTCATGAAGTAGTGATAATTATCAATCAGAACTTTTGAATTTTTGTTGTCTGAGTAGAAAAATAATCCATATAATTTCATTTTTGCATTGGTGTATTAAGTTTACCATTATCTCTAGAAATCTCTGGCTTCTGATCAGCGTTCAGAATCAAGTACGCTCAATGTTTCTACGAATAAGTTTTAAAACGGTCAGTAATATTCTCTTAAGACTTATTTCTTAACGTCCGTTAATTTCTCTAAAACGTAAATCTACCACAATTTCAGTAAAAAAGTTAAAGATCCTCCCTTTCTTTTTAAATAGCAGAGAAATTTTATTTAAAAGCGAAATAAAACTTTAAATAATTATTTACTTTGAAATCATTAAGCTTCAGTAGTAGTTTGATGTTAAAAGAAATATCTCAATTACCTAAGCAAGCTGCTATTGTAATTATAAACTAAAGTAATTCTTATAATAATAACTGCAAAACAGTGTATAATGGCATATTTATCTAGTTTTTTTATGGCTCTATAGCTAAAAATTTTTAAGCATCAATATTAAATTTATTGTCTTTTTCCTAAACCATATTTAATTGCTAGCTACGATACAGTGTATTAGGTGTAAAGGGCAATCAGGAAGGTAGAACCCTATATGCTAGTTTATAAGTAATGCTTTTATACTTTCCCCCTTTTTTGCTCAGGGTAACAAGTTTACCAGTTTGTTGCTTTTTTGTCTTGTTTGAACTAGAAGAATAAAGAAAAACAAGTGTACCGAGAATAAAAGGTAAATGTGGAGAATATTTGATTAATAATTTCACTCTAAAGGCCTTAAATATAATACCAAAGTTATGTTTACTGTTGAGATTCACTTTTTTTTTCGTAAGAAATAGTTTGCTACCATTCATCAAGTGTTGACTTCTTCTATTTTTCTCTTTCTTCCCATACATTCTTCTTGTAAACTCAGTTATATCAGTGTATTTATTAAGCCATGCATTGCAAAATGTTTTAACTCTTGATTTTTGTCATTTGTCATGCCTTCAGCTGTTGGAAAATCAAAAGCATATAATACCTTGATCGTTTATCACAAGCTTGATGTTTTTGTACTGTGTGTCTTTCAGCCACAGCTTTGTGCAAGAATTATGGAAAAACTGCATTACAATACAATAATTCAGTGATACTTGTATTCTTGTGCTGCACCAGTGGCCAAGTGGTTAAGACCTCTGAATATCGGTAGTTTAACCCGGGTTCAGTCCCACGCAAATGAGCTGGCTGCTTGGTTAGTTTTCATGTTTTCTATGTGTAATATACATTTCCCTTAGAAAGTCCTACATAAAGATATCCCTTGGGTGCTTTGCTTTATTTGAATAAAGTAACCTAACCTTGTATTATTGTTGCTATGACACACCTAGAGAAATACGGGTGTTACTTATTGAACCAAAACACCAGTATAGTATTCAAGATTGTCTTTACAGCTTATCAGTAGTTTCATCCAATATGAATTCCATGTCATGCTTGCTGACTACCTTTTTTTATCTGTTTGAAAGCATTTTTTTTAACCGTTTTTGGTTAATCTTTGGATTATAGAACTCTGCTACAGCAACCCTCTATTTTTTTTTCGCTGCCATTTTGTCTTCACGAAGTAAAGAGATGTTTCTTTTTTTTTTTATTTACTGAACACTTTTTCCAACAATCTGCTATCCGAATTACACTTATGCTAGAAATTTTATGGAACAAAACTGCTTAATCATAATTAAGACACATAATCATAATCATAATTAAGACAGAAGCTTAATCATGACAAATATTAACTGCAAAATTCGGAAAAAGTGCAGAATCGCAAACTCCTTGCCACGTTTTTCAGAATCGCACATACACATAAACCATGTACATGTCGACTTATTTTTACTTAAAAAAATATCCCAGAATTGCACAAAAATGGCATTGCACACACTCTTAACTTTATCCATCTACACTGCTTTTTTGTCATAAATTACAAAAATTTCCATGAAAATGCATGAAAATTTTGTGAATCTTTAAACTCGGTAAAAAGCACATATATGAAATTACCTGAACGCGAAAAAGTATATACCCTTTCCAAGGATGAACATTTCCACGTATAAAATAAATAAAATATCCAAAAACTTTTACCTCTAAATTATCTATTATAAACGTCAGCAACGAATTCATATCGCAAACATTAAAAATGGTTACAAATACTTAGTGTCAAATATTTAAATTATTTCCATGCATGTTTACTTCAACTGAAACGTATACCAAATTGCTACAAACATAAAATTCACAAAATAACTATCATTTAATTAAAATATAACTAAACCATGTACACGTCGACTTATTTTTACTTAAAAAAACATCCCAGAATTGCACAAAAATGGCATTGCGCACACTCTTCACTATATCCATGTACACTGCTTTTTTCTCATAAATTAGAAAAATTTCACGAAAATGCATGAAAATTTTGTGAATCTTTAAATCCGGTAAAAAGGACATATATGAAATTACCTGATCGCGAAAAAGTATATACCCTTTACAAGGATGAACATTTGCACGTATAAAATAAATAAAATATCCAAAAACTTTTACCTCTAAATTATCTATTATAAACGTCACCAACAAATTCATAACGCAAACATTAAAAATGGTTGCAAATACTTAGTGTCAAATACTTAAATTATTGCCATGCACGTTTACTTCCACTGAAACATATACCAAATTCCTACAAACATATAATTCACAAAATAACTGTCATTTAATTAAAATATAATTAAATTAAAAAAACACTACTTAAAATATAAATAAGCACATACATTAAATTAATAAAAATTAGCTTACAATCCTAATTACTTTAAACTAAATCATTGCTAATAACAATTTTCCAATAATACCATATTACTTTATTTACTCCTTACATTTAGAACAATGCATAAAAATAATATCCTCAAAATAATAAAAAATACTATCTTACCTAATCTTCTTCAGAATCTTGATTGCGTGGCGGATAAAATTTTCTAATCGATTTAATAAAATTCTTCTTTTCTGCGAATTTTTCCTCCATACTTCCTCTGCTAAATAAAAAGCAAAATTCTCATTATCACAATGCTTTGGAATGGCGCTTTTTATAGCACTCCACGTGCCCTCTATTGTATTCGTATGTGCGCCTGTTTCAGGATCTTTAAAATGATACTTATGGTTCACAGCAAGATGTTGAAAACCTTCATCCTTCAAACAGCATATGATTTCCAGCAATCAGATATGATTATTGTAGCATAGAGCAGCGTAACAACGGAGGAACATGTGCTGTGTCAAGAAGTTCGGGCAAGACTTGTTGCAAGATCAGGTGTGCCCTACCGTCGAAAGGACTGGGCAAAAAGTACGGTTATTTGTGGTAGTCTCCAAGAATGCCGACACAAAATTTGACTGAGAAGCGCTTTTGAGCTGCTAGTGGTTGCATACGATGAGGGTTGGTTTTCCAAGGCCCACATAGGGGCACTATGCTGATTGAAGGCTCCCTCAAGTGTGAAGTATGCTTCATACCTCAGGTGTGAAGTATGCATAATACCAACATAGCACTCTGTTGTCAGAATCATGTAGCAAACATCCTCCGGAGTGGATAATCATCAGGCTCTAATAATTGGATGTGATGAAGATGGTGTGCGCTCATTTGGTTTGCTCCGAGTATCCTCCAGACAATGGATTGAGATAAACCCACTATCGCGAGGTGTCCTCATCTTTCGCTCTCAGTTCATTGCAGCTGTTGTTAAACAACCAGTCTCATGTAACCTTTTGGTCACAGTTGCAACAGGGCTGTGGAGTCGGAGTCATGGAGTCGAAATCAGAATCGGGCAGATTTTGGGGTAAAAGGAGTTGGAGCTGGAGTCGCTAAAAACAGGTTGACTCCGACTCCAGTTTTGTTGGACAGTTTGAATTTGAAATGAAATTAAAATGAATTGAAAAAAATTAATGACAAGCTGAGTTATTATTTTTATTTATGAACTATATACATTAATAAATAGTTATTTTTTATTTTATTGACATATTAATAAATATAATGGAGGAGGATGGATGTGATATTTGTCATTAGTGGTTCGTTTAGTTACAAGTCACACTGGTAAATTTGAGTAAGCACCAATAGCAGCAAGAACTCCCAAAATGGATGCCATTCTCAGAAAGCAAGCAGGAAAAGGAGCAATTATTGATCTAGCAATGCGATAAGGAAGTACATATTTGATGATGAAAAGTTTGTTAGAATTAAGAACTTTTTTAGAAGATGTAGATAACCCTAATGTTTCACTAACAGGAAGACTGCGGAATGATCTTACAGAATTGGAAACTCTTCTTTCTACACCATATGTAGCCACAAAAAAGCTGCAATCTGAAGAATTGACAGGAGCCTAGAATGGATGAATGTGATGTTTGTTCTTTCTGAAATGGAGGGTTTATTGCAGAAGAAATTATTTCTTCAATGAAGAAAAGAGAAACTAGTTTGCTAGACAATGAGATCTTGCTGTGTTCAATATATGTAGATCCAAAACACCGAATTTTCTTGGATGAATAACAAATTAAAAAGGCAAAGAACACCATCTATGAACTTTCATTAAGAATGAAATTATTCTCAGAACAATTGGAGAATTCGATTCAGAACAATCAAACCACAGACATTGCAATTGAGTCTCTATCATCCTCTTCCAAAGATGAATTAAATTTTGAGAAATATTTTTGGATAATATTGAAAAGGCTTAAGACAAAGTGAATGAAAATAAAGAACCAAGAGCCCTTAGATATAAAAATGAAAAAATAGAAAAAAGATTTCTACACGGGCTTTGAAGAAATAGTGAAACATGATTGCGCTTGCAAGACACCTCTTTTAAAACTTATAAAAATCTATCCTTATCTAAGTTAAAAGAAGTAGCCATAACAGTAATAGCTCTTCCTCCTACTAGAGTTGGTGTGGAAAGACATCTCAGTTCTGAAGTTTATCAAATTGGATCTATGGCCCTCCAACAAGGAAGGTGTTGCCGAAGCTATACTGCTTCTTAGAAATAACTATGCCAGTTTTTCCATTTCATAATCAATGCTAATTAATATAAATAATTTGCTATGCCATCAATTTCTTTGCTGTAGCATCTATTACTTCTTTTATATTAAAAAAATAAGTTGTAACCCATGTATATATGTTTACGTATATATATATACAGTCAAAAGTTGTTAATTCGGACACCCATAATCCGAAATGATCTATAATCTGAACCTCAAAGCTAAAAACTTTCTGCACATGCGCCGCGTTGACACATGTGCATAGGCGTTTATGCGTGCGCATAAGACCTTTACGACTGTGCATATGCGTGTGCGCAATCGCAGAATACGTTTTCGTGTGCGCGTTTAATGTATAACGGACGGTATAAGCTAAAATTATCTAATTATCTATTTCAATTAATGTTGATGATTGCGTTGTTCCTTAATCTTCGAATTGGATCTGGCTTATTATTTTTTGCAGACTGTAAGAGCAATTTTATAAAAGTAAGCTTGAACTTTCGATTATGTCAAAATAGAATTTCCGATGCTGGAGCTCCCAAAGGATCTACAAAACGAAAGTATGTTTCGATGTCCATCAAACAAAAAGTGGAATTGCTGCAAAAAATGGATAAAGACATGAAGAAGATGACAGAGAGGTTAGTGAAAACGACAAAATTTCGATTGACAAGTTAGTCGGTATTCTCGGCTCAGCAATTACGGGACTTGAAAGCGGAACTTTGTAACTGAACAAGAAATTATGTCTGTTTATAAAATTAAAGAGAAAGTATTATCACATAAAATGAAGCAACTTAAACTGCTTACATCAAACAACATGAAAAAAATGTTTAATAAAGTAAACAAATAAATATTAGCTTTTTTTTTTTTTTTTTTTTTGGTAAATTTTGATATCCTTTAGATCATAATTGTTCTTTATTTCATAAATTACGGTTTCATATTTTTAATTTTAGAATTTCTGCATGCCATCTTACGAGATTTAAACTGATGATCTATAATCCGGAAAAATCGATAATCCGGAATTGCCGAAGTCCCGACGAGTCCGGATTAACGACTTTTGACTGTATTTGTCTATGAGGGAGTTGGTCATTTTCCCTACCGACTCCACAGCCCTGCTTGCAAAGGTCATGGTCGTGTGATGTGGAGCATGCCTGTTCAGGTAACATTTCTGGTACAGCCACTGAGCGGCATGTCTGTTACAATTCGCAGCTCCATACATGATCCGCATATTGACAAGTTCATCATTTGAATATGCATTCATCCTACTACATCAAGAAACAGATTGCAAATAACGGCTCCCAGCAGGATCAGTGTTCATGCAACCTTCCATTCAGCACCGTCTACCACAAAATTTTGCTACCCTGCATCCCTACGTAATTCCGTGCAGGTGTGTTGGTCTAGTAGCAAATCACCTTGTATATGTCTGTGTATACACACACATGAGCATTCATAAATACATTACTGAATCTAGTTCTGATAACAGAAGAGTATCGAAATCTCTTGCAATATGATTAGAATTAATTCTTTTTGCAATTTTATTTAACATTATTTTTTTCTCTTCTGATTCGACAATTGCTCTTGACTTTGTTATGCATACAAAATCAGTTCTTTATATTTAGCTTCAGTAGTCTAAGTAGTAGTAAGTTAGTAGTAGCTAAGTCTGTTTTCTAAGAGTTTGCTAAATTGTTGCAGTAAAAGTTACTTTGGTACTTTTCCGTTTCGCCGGCACAAATCTCGCCAAGCAGACTTTATTGGCGACAACACACGGTATACATATAAAACATGTTAACAAATGTTAGTTCTAAGGGTTTTTTATTTTGAAGGCATAAACATTTTAATATCATTTAAAATTTTGTAAAAGGGCAATAAATAAAGACAATTAATTTGTAAAACGAAATTAATTTAAGAATTTACTATGCTTTCATGGTACAGCATCCTGATTCGCTGGTTCATATCATGTGACTTGAAGAGATCTCATCTTATGTAAACTAAGCTACAAAAATCTAATTCTCTCATTAATTTCAAGTTATACAGTTATTTGTTCATTCCACATTAATTTCAAGTTAAATCTGAATATGGATTTAAATGCAAGAATCATTTTAATTCGTATGAATAGCTTACTCAGAAATTATGTAAAACTGCAGTGCTTTACTTCGCTAGTGCATTCGTATTAGAATTGAATAATTTAACCCTTTACTTTGCCTTTTCTGTACTTTTGGCATCGGATGAGCAGTGTAATTGCATCCTAATTGACTTAACTACCGCGAATGACCGTAGGGCATACAATTGAACTATCTAATAAAAATTCTATGTAATTTTATGCCATTATTGAAAGAAACAATCTGCTAAGAAATGGCTGCGACCTGTTTTGAAAGTGAGGCGTAAAAGGTTACCAGCGAGGATATTCCATTTGCCATTGGTTGTACTATTTTTGGCAACTTTATCGCCTGTGCCGGCAAAACGGAAAAGTACCGTTACTTTTTATTCAACTATTTGCATATGATGGCTAATGCCTGATTTATAGAATAATTGTATGCGACTGTAAGAGGTTAATTTTCTTCTCTATTTTGTGATACTTTCATTCTTTTATATATATATATATATATATATATATAATAATTTATTTCCTAAACCGTATTGATTAATTGATTATATTATCTCCTAAGTTTAATTAAAGTAGAATTATTTTAAAAGTGTGCATCCATACTGGTAAGTTATATTTTGAAAGAGATGTTTTGAAGTAATTTGAAAGCAAAATGTTAATAATGTTTTAACGGGGACTGGAGTTAAATCATCACGAAGAATAATATTTACAATTGTAAAAGTAGAAATTAAAACATGTAATTATTGTCATTGATCGGAAATTAGTTGACTTTTCAAGGGGAACAAACCAACTCCCGTTCAATGATCAATAATTGATAGAAATACGTAAATATGAAAGTGTTTCGTCTTTACTCGAGTTATAAATTAAAGCCAAACCGGCAATTCTAGTCAGGCCAAATATTTCCGCGAATAGTTGTTACTCAAATAACTGATTCTCATGAAGCATTTTAGTCAATTCAATTTGGAGTAAAAATCAATTACTGTAGAGAAATCTTGTAAAACTCGAGTAATCGTCCCCGACACTATCATCATTATGTATTTGAGTACTATATTATTTGTAGAAATTAAACATTGGAAATTGTCATTATGAAATCGAAATCAAAGTAAAGTTGAAATAAACATAGAAGATTATAAAAAAGATAAATAATGCAAACTTTGCAAAAACAAATCAAAGAGAACATAAAAATAATATAAAAATAATATAAAAATAAAATAGAAAATAATATAAATAAGATCAGTGAATGTACATGAAGATATAAAGGCCAGAAAGGTATTAAGTAACTTACATTCTTTCTAGTGGGGGAGTTGGTAGTGTGTTCTCTTCGTGTCTGACTCAGAAGTGTAGGGTGTCTGAAAATTCTTAGCGGCAGTAGTAGGGGCTTTGAATTATATCAGTCGGCAAGATTTGTATTCGCACTAAATGGATTTAAGTTCATATATATATATATATATATATATATATATTAATTATTATTGTTTATTTACACAGTTGGCATATAGTATTGAAAATTCATTTGCATGTTTTATGGTTTGAATCAGTGTAAGCAAAATCGGTACTTTTTTGTTATTGGGACTGACTTCAGAAATGTATGTGTCTGTACACTCACATTATGTGTGTGCACAACACAGAAATGTATGTATGTATGTATGTGTATGCACACAATGTACATACATAAATTTCTGAATCCTGTCCTGAAAACAGAAAAGTACCATAGAATCTATAACAATGTCTTGTTAAAATATTATTGTTTTTTACTTTTAAGTCGGTTGGTAGGGGAATTCAGGGGATTGCTGTTACTGTCTAAATACATACTATTAAAAAATTTCTATTGTTTCAGCATATGAATGAAAGTGACGGAGATTCAGCCACTGAGTATACAAAACTAATGACATCTTTTGTGAATAGTCAATATTCTAAAACTGATAGTAGTCTTCAATCTATATTAACTGGTTCAGCAAGAGATAGAATGCCGCAGTCTGTTTCTGATCCTTCAACCGTCGGTCATAATGAACTTTATTCTCCATCAAGGAATGTATGTATTTCTTTCTATGTCTGTATGTGTTTTCTCATGTCGTATGCTTTTGGTTAAAAATTTTTCATGTAATAAATTGTTTTCATGCCAAATACACAAAACTATTTTCAAAATTTATTTTGCTGTTTATATTTATTCTATTATGCTGCAAATCAGGATCCCAACCTTTTTCTTGCATCAAACCCTTTTAAAAGAATGGTTTTCTTCATTGATGTCCTTGCATATTTTCTCTATAATGTACAGCATCATAAGACAAATCATAATACAAATAATAACAGATAAATAAATACCTCAAAGATAACCATTAGACTAAAAATATGAACAAAGTTTTGAAAAAAAAATGTTTTTCAGATTTATGTTTTATTGTTTTTATATTATGGTTATTTTTAATCTCACGAATATGAAATGTTTTAAAAAATATAGTGGCTATGGTGGTTTAGGATATGGCTTATGATTGCTTATCTAAATTTTTAAATCACCTAGTTAAAAAATATTCAACCTATTTCTTGTTTTCCATAGTTAATTATTGATTTGTTTAAAGTGTGATTCCACTAGGTAAGAAGAGGAAAAAGTCAGTAATGTTGGTTGAATAACAAATTTTATGTTGGGATATTTCTCTTGTATGTATTATACTTTCCAAAACGTAGTATACTCATGTCTTGAACATTCTTATTCAGTGTAGAGATGTACGATCCACTTTGGAACCAATTCATATTATTGAATGAAGGATCAGTACTCCGCTAAAAACAGAACAGCAGTTCTTTAACAGTTCACCAAGAGCTGTTGTTAGGAAGCATGTCAAAAGATTTGATTCCTCTTAATGCAAACACTAGCATTCTTTCCTTTATTATTTACCAGAAACGTCTCTGTCCTATTTTTTTGTGTGTTTTATGTATGTATATATCTGTGCTTTTGGTTGACTTGTGTTTCATGTAGTATTTAAAAAACAAAACATTAAATAAACTAACCACCCCTATTTACAAATGTGTGGAGTTTTTCTTTCCCATCTGACGCTGCGAGGATCTATTTAGAGTATGTAGGTTATAGGAACTAATTTTTCGGATTTCCAACTATCAGGTGGTCACAGATCTGGGTAGTTCAAAATCTTCATTATTCGCTCTTTTCATTGCTCCTGCTCTAGCTCCAAATCTGGCTTCTGCAAAGTCTTGATTATTTGCTCTTTTCGCTTTCTTGGAGCTGTTCCTTTGAGTTTCATTTCGATTCTTTAAATGCTGTGTCATAGTATAGCTATGTATATTAGGTATTACCTTTTTATTATACAATATTACTGTAATATTTATGTAAAATAGTAAATTATATTTTTATTTATTTATTTACTTATTTTTTAACTTCTTGTAATCAAGCCCTGTGAATTTCTCTTTAATGTTTAGCATTAGTATATATTTATAAACATAATTTTTTTCAAGATAGCAGAACAAAATGTGGGCCGTTATGAATAGAAAAGCCTCTATCAATATGTGGCATCATTTTGTCAAATTAGATTTTAAAAAAAAAGGAAAATGCTGGTATTGTCAACAGACAATTTCCTGTTCTTCGGGATTTGCCTTCGATCTGAAAATTAATTTTTACTATGCTTTGTAGTAGCAATAAAATATCAGTTATAGTAATGAATCTTTAAAGGCCCATCTACACGTAGCGATTTTCCCAGCTGACTTTCTTGTAGAGCAACAATTTTAAGGATCTGTGCATGCGCCAAAAATCGATCATGTTTTTTCCTACGATTTCGGATCCAGTGTTCACTGCTCACTAGTGTACAATAAAATCGGTGTCTCTAGCCAATAAGGTTGCTTTGAGTGATCACATGCTTTTCTCCTCATTTTGGAATAAATAATAAATAGTGCTATTTCATTGGAGCGAAATTCAAATTTTTCAACTGATAGATATTTATAGAGAAAACGTGTTGTGGGACACGAGCAATGTAAATTTCAAAAATAAAAAATTAAGGGAAATTTTTTATTTTTATAAGTTTTATTTCCCCTGTTACTTTATATATTCAAATATTTTCTATTTATGGTAAAAATTATTTTATGTTTGTATAATATCTTGTTGAAAGTAAAAATTTTCAGAAGAACCCAGTTTTGTGTTAATAGACGTAAATAAATTACAGCACAATTTAATATGATATTACCCAATTTTATTAGCTGATTAACTAATATAACCGTATGATTATAGTTTTCAGATTGTATTAGTTATTTAATGGTAATATTGCGAATAAAAACATCCTGTAACATAAAGAAGATTAATGTAACTTCATTAAAAATGATGCAATAAAATAATTATAAAATTCATTAAAAATTTCTCGAAACGAAAATAATATTCATTAAAACTATTGTTTACACTTTTACTTTAGTTTTAGTGACTGAGACATACCAATTTTAATGCATAGGGCGATGTACAGGATTTCATTTTGGTTAGAGTACAAGGTTGGATATTTTGAGAGGAGGGGGATATAAAAATAAAAATTTTGAAAATAGACTTATTTTATGTAAGATTTCATGAAAATTTTATGAATGAAATGTGCAAGGAGAGAGATGATAGCTGAACATCTCTCTCCTTGCATATGGCCATATTGTTGAGATTAATACTTTTTTTCAATGTACTGCTTAATATGCAAGTTACATACCCTTTTTTTTATAAAACTTTCATTATTTTTTTACGTGGATGACAGAAGCCTTCTTTGTTCAGAAAAACTGCAATTATTTCAACCTGTTACACAGATCGATACAATATGTAAGCATGTCAAACATTATTTAAAAATTTATCCGAGTTTGTTACATATTTCTTGTTAGTAGCTTTTCAACAGTGGTTTGCAAGACATGACATTGCTTGTAACTGTCTGTATGTCTGCATTTAAGTTCAAGCATTCTTCTCAACATTTTTAGTGTGTGTCGAGCTGTTGGTACTGGATTGGGATTTTTATCTCCGGACTCACTTTCATTTTCACCAATTCCTTTGTTTTCTCTGATAATTTCAATGATCGCTGCAACACTCTTTTTCTTCTTTTGGTAACAAGTCTAGGTATTTTCATCGATTCTCAAATATTTGAGGAAGATCTCATCAAGCATTTCTTCATCCTTCTCTTCTGCTACATCTTGAGAGTTTCCAGAAATTTGCTTTGGATGGAAGCTGGCTTTTATAAAACAATTCGAAATTGTTTAACGGAGTTACTTCATCCCACATATTTAAAGTAGCATGCATGGCATCAAAGAGAGAAATTGACTTAATAGTGTACTTAGAAAAATAAACTACATCAGTCATATCAATTTCATTAATGATATTTTGAACCACTTCCTTCCTGTAATGACTGAATGCTTGTGAATGCTTTTATAAACTATGCTTGTGAATGCTTTTATAAACTATGCTTGTGAATGCTTTGTTGCTGAATGCTTTTATAAACCCTGATCTAATGGCTGAAGAATGGAAGTTGTGTTAGGAGGAAAGAAAACTAATTTTATGTTCTTCATCGAGAGATCAGTTGGATGGGCAGTGTAATTATCTAACAAGAGCGTCACTTTTTCTTGCTCAAGTTCTCCATCCCACTTTATAAGAAAATCACTAAAAATATTGTTTATCATCCAAGTATTCTTATTGTTGTTTTAAGTCACAGGCAAATGCTCGATGTCCTTCAGACAGCTTCAGACAATTCTTCATCTTTTATGCTCAAATCTTTGCATTTGGACATTTTGAGGCACAACCGAAAGCATGATGTGGATGTGTGAAATGAATGAACTGTGTGAACAAAAAAAAAAAAGACAATTTTTTTTATACAGATTCTTCCTCACATGCCTTTTTTTTATATTTCTCCTTTCCCCCAGCTGGTCTCAACCAATTCTGACAAACCTCTTGTAATCTACCCCCACCCATGTTTGGTCCAGATAAAAAAATTCTAGCATTTGCAGCTCCACGTGTAAAAGTGAATCAATCATGAATGAAATCACTGGCCTTGAAATACAGACTTGAAGGTTTTTGACAATCCCAAATAAGGAAATTCTAGCATTTGCACCTCCATGTGCAAAAGTGAATTGACTTTGAGCAAAATCTCTAAACTTGAAACACAAACTTGGGTGTTTGTCTTTATAATTTCAAAAGTAATTTTATTAAGTGGTTATTTTATAATGATACTGTATTCATTTGAATTTGTTCTTTGGGTTTTGATTCAATAAGTGATTGATTTTATTAAGCGGTACAACTGTGATAAAGTAATTTGCTTTTCATGGTGATAATTAGATCTCTTTGCATCTTGATTTTTTTGAATCAGTTACTATAATTTTAATTTCCGATATTGTAAAAATCTTTTTTTGTTTTTTTTTTTGTTTGTGATATAAATGCAGCATCAGCCAAATGGACCAGCCAGTGTTGACGTGGCTTTTCGAGATGGAGAATCTAGTCACACTCATTCAGAAGATTCTGTAGTCAGCACTCAGCTGGTGAATCGGTCACCAAGGGTCCATAGGTGAGTTTTCCCTCTTGTGAGATTGAATACAGTTTTATTGTTCAAAATGTTTATTACTAGCTAGTTAATGAAAAAAAGCTGTAAATATATCTTTTTATATCATTTAAATTAATGAAAAATTAATTGTGTTAAATGGCTTGCAAACGATTATTCTGTGTTATTCTAAACATCTTTTTTTTTTTTTTTTTTTTTTTTTTTTTTTTAAATGTATTGCACTAATGATGCAGAGGTGTTTCATAAATTGTATCAATTAGAGATATTGAAAAATAAAGTTAGAAATTATCAAGATTTGTATTTTGTCCCACTTGGGTAATTTAGCAATGTACAGTTTTAATTTGAGAGATAAATAAGTACTGCAGTGTTAAATAACAGCATCATTGAGAACTGGCATTTACCAGGCTGCATGAATAATTTTAGGTTTATGATTTCATCTGAATAATAAATGCTAGGTAATGTAACATAATGGTAACAAAAAGTAGAAAAATAGCTAGTGTTATTTTTAATGTAAAATTTATATTGGAAATTAAGACATAACCCTAGCACATAAATATATTAGTTTTATCCGTGATTAACACCCATGAAAAAATTTTTACAGGGACATAATAAACCAATGTATTATGTACATTAGTTCTATCACAGGCTGTAATTTTTTCGCAGATGAATGTATAGATGAATACTTTTATATAATTTCCACATAAAAAATTATATAAAAGTATTACTGTATTTCTACAGATATTCCTCCCTTTCTTTTACTAATATTATTGCTCAAAAACTGAGAGGAGAAAATTATGTGAATAGTTTAATTTGCAAAGGACGCAATTACAGTAATAACCTAACAAATAAAAATTGGGCTTATATAAACTACATATATTTATCACAATATTATTTCTTTAAAAGAAAACTGTATTTGGTTTTGAGTTCCGTAAAAAATCAGCATACTATTGTTGATGGCAGTGCTGCCAAAAATAATTGCGCCAACCCTAACACAAAAAAGGAAGTATAATAGTAAATAACTATTTAACATTGATGTTTTAATTTAGATGAAAGGTTAATATCATGTAATACTTTTTTATTATTATAATTTATATAAAGAAGGCTAAACATGACTGAATTAAAGCATAAGAGTAAATAACTATTTTAAATCATTATTATAATTTATTTTGCTAAACATAACTGAATGGATGCTTGCATTGCTATTTTGCTGCCAAGTTATCGCTAAAGCATAGTTTCATCTCGTTGGTTGTTCAAACATAATTTTCTATAATGAATGATGCCTTTTCTTTGAAACAATTCTCGGTAAAGTGCAGAATCGTCCAGTTATTTGTTTGCTGCTTTTTACAAGGGTAAAAACAATTGGACTTTTGTCAATTTTCTTTTACTTTTTAAGTGAAAATAGGTCGATGTGTACATAGATAAAGTCAAGGGTGTGCACAGTGCCATTTTTGTGCAATTCTGGGATTTTTTTTTTTTTTTTGAAGTGAAAGTAGGTTAATGTGTGCATGGATACCGAGTATGTGCAATTCTTAAAAACATGTCGAGCAGTGGGTGATTCTGCACTTTACCCAAAATTCTATTGCACACTTTTTGTCATGGCCAATTTCCACATTGTTAAATCCATAAGATATCAAAAAAGAATTTAAAATAAAAAAAGGATTTAAAAATTAAACTAGCATTTCAATGGCGTTTTAAGAAATATAGAACTGTATAAACTTACGCAATCTGAAATCAGCGGGTACGGTAGATTTCGTGTGCTGTTAAATGGGCGCGTTTGCTAGATTTGGCGCTTTTACATTTTCGCTGCAATTTTTTTACGGTCCTCAGAACGAAATAGTACCCTTTATTCCAGTAAACATTATTAACATTACAGTATCTAATAAAATATCTTCATTTTTACTTCCCTGTAACTTGAATTTCGCCTTATTGTTGTCCTTATTGTATCTTATTGTTGTCCTTGCTACTCCTTAGACCTCAAATCATTCATTGTTGCTCGAATTACTGTCTCTCATCACCTGCTACAACTTTTATTATTGTCATTGTTTTCATTAGCACTAAATCTGTCTTCCTACATGTAATGATTTTGAGTGCATTAAATATCCCCATTTAGTCAGAGCTCTTCATTATTATTGCTTAATAAATCAGAGCCCATGTATCCCCAAATCCACAAGCTAGTCAGTTTAATGGAAGGTCTCTGGATTTTTCCAATTCTGGTAAAATTGTTTGACCTTACTGGCACTCATTGTAAAATTTTCAGAGATAGTCTTTGGATGGTTTATTCATTGATACATTCGATGGTTCCAGAAATGAAGTAAGCCCTTCTGGAATAATGACAGAATGGTGTATGCTCTGCTCTCTCTCTTTTTTTTTAAACATCTTCCAGGAAATTCTTTTGATTAACCACAATGTTATTAGGCATATACATTCTATAACAAACAAACAAACAAACAAACAAAAAGAAGAAAAAAAAAATCGCTGCACCAATAAGGAATCATCCAATTGCTCTGAAATTTTGTATGCATAAATGTTTTGACCAAATATGCAACTGATTAAAATTTGGTGTCCAATGAATGAATAATGCAATCTCCAGCGCATTGGAACTGCACATCCAGCAGATGTATATAAGGAGCTGTTCTTGAACTGTTGTTAAAAATTTCTCTTGCATTGTGATTTAGGATACCTTTCAATGACTGAAAAAATGCCTCACTGCAAGATTTGAGCTCATTACGAGCAACTTTAGAGTTTGAAATGGTTCGTATCACTGGATTGAAAGAGGCAATTTGGGAAAATCGGAGAATTGCTTGACATAAGAGTCTTGACTCACATTAGTGATTAGAAGTGATGCTGCGATTAGAAGATGCTGGCAAGAATGGGTAGACAATAGCAGATTTCAGCGTCATGATGATAATGGTCGACCTAGTTCCAAAATAGATCGGGAGGGCAGAGTGGTTGTCAGCAGCTGATTCATCGCAACCATCAGACATGAGTGTCCACCATGACCATTCACAGATGGCTGATGGAGCGAAATCTCACTGACTGGGGATGTAGTTTTTAGCGATGAATCCTACTTCCAACTGTGTCATGATGATCATCGAAGACGTGTTTAGAAACAGCATGCTGATCCTGCTTTCACTATTGCATGCCACACAGGCCCTCAACCAGGCATTATGGTCTGGGATACCATTTCCATTGATAGCCGGACTTCTTTGGTCATCATTAGAAGCACACTTACATCTCAGCGGTACGTCTACGACATTCTGAGACCCGTTTTGCTACTGTTCCTTTTGCAGTATCCTGGCCTTATTTTTCAGCAAGATAATGCCAAACCACATACGGCACGTATTGCTATGAACTGTCTTACAGCTTGTCAAACACTTCCTTGGCCAGCAAAATGACCCATTGAGCATGTCTGGGATATGATGGGAAGGCTACTGCATCTATCAGGGAATGTTGATGACCTAGCCCAAAAATTGGAGCAAATTTGGCAAGAAATACTGCAGGAGACCATCTGGGAGCTTTGTCAATCTATGCCACGCTGTGTGGCAGCTTGCACTCAGGCTGGAGGTGGGTCAATACCTTATTGAGCTCATACTATCATAAGTACATAATATAGTACTTTGTAACTATGTGACTCTGAAATAAATCATTCAATTGTTCTGAAATTTAATCATTTTCTATTCTGTACATAATCTTGCTATCCACCAATTTTTGCTCCATCTGACAACTCCTTCTTGGTCCGTTGATTTTGTTTTGTTATAGAGTGTAAATTAATCCAAGAGTTTGTTTCTATGCATCTAGATTTCCTATGCTTCTAAGACTGTAATTGTAATCTTTTGCTGGATCCTGAACCTGAGAAAGTCTAACATCTTTTTTTCACAAACCTTAGGTAGCCATTGTGTAAGCATTGTTCTTCTCCTTAAACTGAATTCGTTTCATCTCACAATATGGTAATCACTACCACAATGTATTCAAGAACAGATTATAGATCCTGCACATACCCTGTGCATCATGTTTGGGAATAAAGAATACCATTTTACAAAAGTAAATACTTTTATTTTCAGATCATATTTTGCATGAAGCTTCGTGCTACGATATCTTAACCACCACTAAAATATATTTTCGATTGACACTGACAGTACATGCTCAGTAACAAGGTAAAATTACAAAATGTGCTTGATAAGCACTACCATCTGTTGAACAGAGTAGAAACCTGTTTCTTACATATTAATCTATCCTTTGCTCATTTTAAATTGTTGGGCTGTAATATAATTTCTTCTCTTCTCTTCATCTCTAAATTTTATTTATATCATTTAATGTGACACAGTTATGCCACTTATGTTTTTTTTTTTTTTTTCCACTGTCACATAATTTCAGCAGTTCAATATCAGTTTCTGGAAATTTTCTAGTTCTTGGTCTGCTCTAAATTTGTCTTCCTTAGTGCATCTTCTTGTTTTAAGTATTAAATCAAATTAGGATCAACATTAAACTGAGTATTGGCAGATGTGACACCATTAATTGCAAGTAACTTAAAAAATTTAATTAAAATTTTGCTATGTAAATATGATTATTTTCTCTCCCCCATGGTTCCAAAATTTCGCATTACAGTGTACTTGTAGTACTCACGCGTCAAAATAAATTTCTTCTAACTATGAATTCTCAGTCCTAAATAAAGTTCTGTTAGGAATTAATAATTAAAGAAGGTGAATATTTGGCTGACTTAGTGAAATTGCAGATTGGATGTCAGTTTATGATTGGTTGGTTCTTGTATTAGGCTGGCATTAAAGTTCAACAATTAGAAGTGAAGGTCGGCGTGAGATAAGGAGGTAGTTTGCAAGAGTTTGTGTTTGTTAGTAAGATGAAAACAATCGTTATGAGCAAGAATCCATTTTGAAATTTAGGGAAGCTCGTTCTCTGAACACATCAAGGAAGGGGAAAATTATGCAATATTCTTTTTTCTTCTAAAGCCTGGCACAAAGAATAGCTGAAGAAATTGTAGATTCATAAAA